AATGATCAGAAAAACTTTGTATGCCCTTTTATGCCTGTGTTGGCACATTAGTGTATTCAAGAGGCACCGAGGAATACGTCGATGAAGGGGATCTGGTTGGACTAAAAAGAGATCCGGTCACAATCGCCTGACGTATTACACAAGGTAATAAATGACAGATCTGTCCCAGCACACACTTGAATCGGTCCAATTCAACAGGCAACAGCAACACTGAGGACGGGTCAGCAGCAGCTTATGGTGAAGAAATAGGTTTTCTGCTTTCATTAAAGACAGAATTTTAGTCAAGGACATGTAAAATCGCATCACTGTCAGTGTCGACAGCTGACAGTTCTGCTGGCGCCAACTACAAGACTCGGTGGCCAGGACTCTTTAAACAGCTTGTTGAGAGCCGGAAAGTTTGTATACGCTAACCATCAAGCCAGGTGGGTGGTACCGAAACGGCTAAATCGCACCTCAAAGTAGTTAATCTGTGGAACAAAGCCGCGACTAAAATAGTATGCAAGCCCGCAACTCACCGTTAAATCGGGGAAAATTCCAACCACTAAGGCCCTCTCACTGATCCAATGAACAAGGGTTATCCTTTGAAAGGGAGGGAGGTTTACGAGGTCATGGCAAACCACCGTTTCGTCTGCGAATATGGAAAGGAGGATGTTAAAAACAGTAAGGTAGGATACAAAACAAGCTTATGACGCGACATTAACAATAGTCTAGCTAAAATTACCAAAGAAAGTGCATCAAGTTGCCTTAAGACGGGAAATCCGTGTCTAAAAAGTAGTAGATGGCAGTGAAAATGTCAACGAAATGAGCTCATAGCAGCAAGGAGCAAAATTTCAACATCACCTAGCCAATTAAAGTAAGTGTGTGAGGGAAAGAATCGGAGTGGTGTGAATGAAACAACTGATCATATTTCACACAATTTGAATAGAAATTCCCTGAAGTAGTTAGTAGGGCTCATTCAAAAGGTACTTCTACAAAACGTAAATATTCGTGAGGAAAGCAGTTGAGTGGATTCGTTGAATGCCATATTGGAGCAATTAAGCATTCTAACTGAGAAAGAGGTACACTTTACTCTGCGAATACATCAAGCTACTACCAGACGGACCCATTAATTACAAACCAACCCCATTCTACAACTCATTTCCAATTAATCAGTTACAAAGAAGGCTAAAGCTTCTGAAGTACATCAGGAATGAACAAAATCACCCACCATCGATGATCTCGTAGATTCCCAAGCATCCCCATCTGCCGCCAAGAGCAAATCGACGCGACTCCCTGTGAACTCCGGAAACGCAGTATCCTGGGAAGAGCCGATCCTGTCTTAGATGCACTCCGTCATTGTCAATAAATTCTGCTTCCTTGGACACCCTCTCCGACAGCATTGGAGACAGACGCGGTTGCAGCGGAGTCAATTCAGAGGCCTTGTCATTATCAGACCGAAGTAGAGCTATGTCCCTGGAAAAGGGGCATATTCCATTAGTCTGTTGCATTATCTTTAGAGGAAACAATGATTTTTTTTGGTCAGTATCAATTTGTCCTCCATTGGACAAGAAAATGCATCAACCCGCCTCATTTAGCAGACTTGCGCCAAATGTTCTGATTCAGATGATTCGGCAGAGGCACTCACATCTACCAACACCGTGCAATCCGCCGACATGGCGTTGGTCGTTTTCTTACCCACCACCCTGTTCACAGGCTAGTGAATTGTTGGAAGCCAGGTGCCGACCAAACATAATCATTTAATTGTGTAGCCATGTGAGTCCTATCCACCAGAACGTGAAAGCCTAGACTACACCTAGAGCAAGCTATTTTACCACATTAATCCATTGTTAAGCTCCCTCATAAATCTTGAAAAGTTTACCCACTTTTAAGGTCAGTGATGGTAAGAAGTGAGTGCTCTTCCAGTGGCTATGCCTTGAATGGGCCCCTCCAAATGTGATGGATTGTGAGTTCATCTTAATATGACCGTTTTTCCCCAAGAAAGACTCACATAGGTGATCGAGTCGGCTATATGTTGAGTCTCTCATGGTCCTACCTGCCTCTTGCAACAATTTTGCAAGTGAAACTTATGTAAAACAGGGAGAGGAAAAGCACGCATCGTGCAGATTCACAGAGGAGGAAATACCTCACCATGAATAATGCAAGCAGCAACCTGGAGCAAAAGGGTTTCAGGGATTTCAGCAAGCAAACGGTCTCATATGTAAATTACTGGAAAAAAAGGAGACCCCAGACTGACTAAATATACAGCAAGTTAAGCCATTTGCATGTGACAACGGCGGTTAACAGTTTGCAACTCGGAATGTCGGCTTGACACACTCACATAAGTGGAGGGAGAAAGAGAAATAGGTGACAGCGATTAGGACTGGCGACTGGTGAGGAAAAGTGAAAAGAAAGGGCTCTTCTAACAGACGAGGTTTGTTAAATTTGAACCAAAATTACTTATGTTTAGCTACAAATAGACGAAATGTTGTGGAGTGACTGCATACAAGAGGTTGTGATAGTGAAGGCAATCAGTCACTGAGGATCCCACAGCTCAGAAGGGCAGCACTGGATGTTATAGATGACCGTCGGTCAGTTTGTCATTGCTAGCCACCCTCAGATTGCAGTCATGAAGGAGGCCTCCCTACTTCGGACTTACTTTAGATAATTTGTTTTCCAACAATCAATGCCATCTAATGGCACTTGACCCCACCATTATGAGCCCCTCAGATGCACCTTTGGCAAAGTGACAAGCTGTTCATGAAAACAGTGGAAACTCCAATCCGACAGGGTCGCTTTTGAGAAGAGATAATAGTCTCGGGGATGTGGACAGATTCCAAGTTGAAAGCTGCTATCCGGGTAGCTCTAACTTTCAAAAAGTAACTCCTACGCCTATCTGAGTGGCGCTTCTGACCATCAAAATTCACTCAATTCGAAGGTAGGAACCTTCCATGAACATTCCTGGTAGACGCGAAAGATCGAAAGGCAGACCATTTTGAGCTGCTGTGAAGATGGACATCAAGTTAGTAGATGTGGTGAAGTTCGACAAGCTCTGGCTCCGATGACGAAGTGTAATAAAACCTTCCAAGACTACTAGATCGCATCGACAACCTCTAGAGGTGAAACTACCTACTCACCCCTGATTGAGTGCTAAAAGAGGTGAAAAAAATATAGCAGCGAATGAGGTCGGTAAACAAAAAACTGACTCAGATCACCTTGAAGTTCCTCCCATTCCATTTTTACGAATTTATAGGTTCTAATCGGACTTAAATGAAGATGATCTACTTATCGCCGAGAATAACTCACTTCTGTGATGATCTGGTGGAGTCGAACCCGAATTATAAGGAAAAAAAGTAAGCCTAAAGCACACTGACTACCCAATAACAAAAAATTGCACAAACCTAAGCAACCAGGATTGGAGTACAGCCCCGACACGGACTCAGGGTATGGAAAATTGTGTTGTTCGCCTATTTCACCAACTTGTGCCGTCTTTAAACACATAAAAGAACTTCTCGCATAAACATGTGCAATTGTGCTGGTTTTCGTGAAGGTTATTTTCAAGCCCTGAATGGAAATCTACCTTAAAAAAAAGCTTACACACATCAACTTCTTGCCCCCAGCTCCAAGAAGCAGCACTGAATAGATGGCTAGCACAAATCACACTCCTTTCTTCGCAACTGCATTGTAGTACATGGACTTCTTTAATACTCTTCTCAACACACAACCACTTCCATGGGAGACTTTAAACTATAAGCAGTAGATTTAGTTTAGCATCTGGAACCAAGCAAAGAAGACAATACGAACCACTGTTGGGATCCTACTTGTTCGCAATGGCACCTAAATCCACCAAATAGAGATGTTTTAGATGTTTTAAAAAGGACTAACACATGTGGCGTCGCAATCAATGTTTTTAGTCTGTTGAGTTCATAAAAACCTACAAAAATAGATAAACATCGAAGCAATAAAGTATATGATCGGCAGTGATCAGCATCCCTCTGAGCGGCTCGTAGTGGATGCCCTTCACACACTTACTAGGACAGCAGACAGGAATGAAGACTAGTCACGTTCTAAAAGCACTCAAAATTTGTACCTCTACTCAGTCTCATGAAAGTGTAGAGCCACATCATGAACGAAACCGTGAGGTAGTGCATTAGAGTGAAAAAGAAAATGAAGATAAATGAAGACACTAGCGATTTATAATGCCTCCCTAGTCGTCTATTTGTGCTACATCTGATTACCAAAACTGTAACATTATTTGTTGTTCAAGCTCAATGAAAGCATCACCACTTTGTATGGACACAGCGCAGCTGTTATATTCGCACAAAATTCACAAAGGGGTCACAATAAGCTGTATGGATCACCTTTCAATTGCGTATTTTCGCTTATTTACCCACACCTCACACTCCGGCTTTTATTCCCTGCTTTGCAGACAAGAACGATACAAAACTCATATTTCACTACTTCATTAAAAATAAAATTCCTGCTTTAGCTTTAGATATGAAGCAGATAACACGGAAACGAGGAACGTCATCAAAAAGCCCTGGACACCATGAGCTTTGGTTGCTGGCTTAAGAAAACAGATTGCGATTCCGTTGTAGCTAATCCACATTTGTTTAGACTACTTTTAGCCCGATGTTATTTTCGACTTCAACGTCGTCGCAGGGTTTCGATCTTATCGTCAAAATGTAGGTTATTATTACTACCAGATTCTACTTTTATTAATTAAGTAGAACACTCTCGGGTCTGATTTGTAATTGGTGGGCGTTGTTAAAAATCAATCAATTGAGACCCTCGATTAAAATCCAAACCATACAAGTCAGTAAAAGTGCTACGAATATATGGCATTTAAGGCTGGTCAAACGGTTTTGTAACTTCTTCAATCAACAAGCTAACACAAATTTAAAAAATACTTCAGGTAACATATATTAACTTCTTCTAAGTTCTTTTTTAAGTCAATATACATAGCAATCTATAGTTAGGGAGCAAAAACAAAACGTACCCAGATTCAAAAATTGTGAAGATTTTCCCTTCGGGCCCAATGAAAACATCACGCATGGCTCGGGAGACCTAAGGTGTACACAACTTAGAAATTCGTGCTCACGTACCATAACAGACTCATTTCCCAATAAGAATGACTGTTCCTAAGCAGAAGAAAAGAATGAAAAAGCAGCAGCAACCATACCACATCAGAGGAATAATGGAAATAAGTATCAGAAGGGAAGAAATGCCGCGCTAGAGAGGAAGGTAGTTTGACTTTCGGAAATGTTGAAACAGCGCCGACACAACTAACAGACCCATCACCAAGGACATATGCTTCACCACCAGGTTGGGACATCTCGAGCAGATTGAGAACCAAGGAGCCGTCATTCCCACCAGTGACCTAAACAACGATTTCGATAAATAAAATACATACTATTTGTAATTTATTAGTAGCGTTGTCTATATGTGTGTCCAAATCCCATATGCTGCGGCCTTTGTGGACCGACCTCAAAACAATTGGTTCTAGTTTGAAGTCAGGGCCCGACCAACGACAACAAACCAAGGAAGAGTCCTTAATTCACTAAGTAGAATAAGTACCCCCACCTCACCAGCTGAAACCATCCCCCACTCATTCATTTGAACGCACCAAACACGCGACTCGAACAAAGGCACTCTTGTGTTGAGTACATACGTATCAAGACGGTGAAGGACATTCCAGTGTGCCAATCGTAATTGGGAGTTACCACATAGTTCGTCAAATGGAGAAGACCATAAGACAACTGACCGGTCCTCTGCAGCTGATGCCAAAAGACAAGTACCGATGAAGGAAGGCTTGAACAAATCCACAGCAAAAATGATTCCCTTATGAAAATGCAATGAGGAGACTCGGCCATACCTTTTGGGCGCCAAAACGTGATAAAACTGAAGCAGTTACAGACGAGTCACTTGCATACGACCAGACAAATATGCGACTTGAGGTTCCGCCTATGCAAACTAGAGAATGAGTATATCTGCACAAGCAAACGGCGAAACGGGTACAGTATAGCATTGAGGAACTTGTTATGCTAGTATTCTGTACAAGACGCGAGGACAGAAGACCCGATGTAGAAAAACTATAAATTTTCGAGAACCCGCTGATAGAAACAGTGAAAAGAAGGAATTTATTGTGCTATGAAGTGCAATCATGAAATATGGAAGGGATTACCTCTTTATGTACATGCGCACCACAAACAAATTCAGCAGTTTCAAGGGAAAATAGCGTCCTCATGTCCCCATCCTTTGAAACGGAAAATATCACGCAAAGACTTTTCCCAAACACAGTGATAAAATTTGGCTCAAAGTCCACAGAGCTGTTCGAATGTTGTACGCCTAGACAGGAACACCTAATAGACCTCGAACCATGCGTTATTCTAAAAACAGTCTGGTGCGATGGAAAACAAGCCTGATGCCGGACGCTACCATCTTTTATGTCACAAGTAAAAATCCTATTCCCAGCTGCTGTTAAAACAATGAGCATGTACACATGGATTGCCTTACCAAATAATATAACGTCACCAGAAATCCACGCAAGAGTAGTTATAGGTGTATGGTTCCAAATCACCATCACAAATATGAAGACCAAGTTAATGCAAATGTACCCACAACAAAGCAGGCAACTGGCGAACTCGCACAGGTATCTTGCACAGACATTTACCAGACAAACCAAAAATCGAGCGAGAACTAGGTCAAATATTTATCAATCGATGGAACGAAATAAAAAACTTGATGACAAATCATGCTGCAAAGTGGTCTGCCTTTAAGCTATCTAAGGAATTCGGTAGGTTTTGTATGATGAGATGTTCTGCCTCCTTAAATCGAAATTGTTCTTAAGTGGTACTAAATAGGTATTCTAAACCAAATGGCGATGTTGTGCTTTCATGTGTGTATGGACCTCAACGGTTTACGCTGCTTCATAAAAGAATCAGGAAAAAGCTAAGTATTTTTGTAGTAGCTCTTGTCAAAATTTAATTTTGCTGGTAATACAGCGGTAGCAAAATATGTATAAATTTTGCTTTAGTGACGTCTGGCATTGTTATAATGTTACAATCTAAGCGATACACATCTAGACAACAGGACTCAGAAGATATTGTAATAACGTAAAATGTAAATTGACGGTTTTAGGCTTTAGGTAGGTTTAATATAATGAAATTAATTTAGTACATTGTGGATCAGAAGACGAAATTTTTTGCCCTCGTCTTAGACATGCCTTTAAGGGGACAACGTACATCAACGATGCTGTTGTGACCTTAGAGCGAGTAACTCCTCTGTTCACGTCCTCTTGATTGACCTCACCACAGGCTAGATTCTATTTCATGAGTGCAGAGGATACCTGTAAAATGTACTTGTTGTGCCATTTCTTACTTTAGACTTGTTTGTGGCGATGTTTGTGGACACTTCAAGACCCTTTATGCAAGGATTAAGAAGGTGCTTTCTACAGCTGGCTCCTTCGAGGTATTTTAATTCAATCTATGATTTTTAAGGCCTTGTTTTGCGTCGGTGACTTCTTTGGTGAAAATGGGGAAGATTTTGAGAAACTGTGCGAAGACTCGTCAGCAGGCATGCTCCCTTAAGGTCTTTATACTTCTTTACAGTTCCTATCATGACATACGTGTTATGTCCTGCAACTCCTACCGCTCTTCGATTTATAACTGACTTGAATGGGTGTGAATTGTGTCACAGTATCAAATACCTGGGTACGTGGCACGTACCATTATCTTATAATCCCCTTGAAGGTCAACAGGGAACTTATACAACATTATCCGGACTTCGGATTGTTTACGTTAGCGTCAGTCCAAGTGTTGAAGCAGATTCAGACACGTGGGTCACAGAATTCCCATCTCTTGAGGCAGATCCATCTTTCTGTGGGGTTGATCTGCTTCTCACATGCCAGTGGCCCACGTACATAGTTCCGTCAAATGACCCGCTTTCTTCCAAAGTGGCTGATCAAACCTCTCTATGTGTTGCTCATATTGCGAAATCCGTTACACCGCGGTACCACTTTGTTGCCACAAATGGTGTATTCTACGAACGCAAGCCCTATAGAAATCACCGAGTTCTTCAGGAAAAGGAAAAACTCGTTACTCGATTTATTGCTCTAGCTAAGGTTGGGAACAAGGGAAATGCAAAGGTATATCTTATTTCCTGTTCATGCTACGCTTAGGTATCTTCGTTCATCGACTCTAGCGTATTGGTATTATTTTAGTATTTATATGCTCTGAAAGTCAAACCGGTTGATAAAATGTCCCAGATCGAACTCTGTGCACAACCTCCAGATGTGACGGATAATCCGTATTTTGATACGCTTGATAGAATCACGCTGCCGAAACCCAAAGAGATGGTGAGATCTTGCTGCAGTTAGCATACTTATTACTAACTGCCGGTCATTAACATCATTGCATTACATAGTCAGGATTATAATATGCTTAACATTGCTATGCTGTTGTAAGAACTTCTCATTTCTCTCGAAATGTTCTGTTAGTCGTAATGGTATGTTACTGTCAGAAGAGTAATGTTTTGTAGGAAGTTCAAACTGAGCAGTATTTCTATGCCACTGGTAAAAAGCGGGTCATGGATGGTGATGGCAACCGAAAACGCACAAATTGGAAGCTGAAGAAGTATGACAATCCTCGTTCCACCGAAACCACCCCAAAAGGTTGTTTATGTTTCATTCATTTGTCGAACTAGCTGATCTCAGGTTCACTTAGACTTTGTAAAGCTATAGGCTACACAGGTTGGTATGGTGTAGTAAGTGACAGCTACTCGCATATTAGTGTAACATCTCAGGTGCTTGATCGTTGTGTGGTTCTTTTTGGTCTCATTTAAAATTCTAATTGCGCTCTTGTGTCTGACTTCGCAGTATGTGTGGGCCTCTTTTTGCTGACAAATATTTGCTTTGCTATGTCGTTTTCCCTCCACCCTAATAGCCAAATTTTAGGGAATTGGTCAAGCACCTTCCCATCACCATGTCTCTCCCACCCAATCTAGTTCACGACGCTTGTTGGTTTTGTCTGGGCAATCCTCAAGTGGCGAAGCATCTCCTCGTCACTATAGCAACCCATGCCTATCTGGCCTTGCCTCGCGGACCCCTAGTCAAGGACCATGTGCTCATTTTGACAGTGGGGCACCATCAGAGTTGGTTGACCTGCTCGGAGGCTGTGCAGGCCGACATCGAGGCCTACAAGCAAAGTCTGCGAGCAATGTTCAAGGAGGAGGGCAAGGTGATGGTCACCTTTGAGCGCAACTACAAGACCCACCACTATCAGCTTCAAGTGCGATTTCCACTTCTCTTGTCCCACTTGTGGTTCAGACAGCGAATGTCTTATAGTTTTTTGAGGGACGTAGTTGTAATGAGGCCGTTAATGCCCCAGTAATCTCTCAAGCTAAACATTCTTAGTTACATTTTGCTGGTTTGTACTTTGTGCTCTATCGAGCTTTTACTCCAACTGTTTGACTGTTTTTTTAGCCCATCATCAATGTACGGTATACGGTCCCACTTTAGACACGCCTGTTCATGACTGGTTTCTTTATTTCAACTGCTCTAGGATGCTGAACAAAATTACAAGAAAGGAGGAGGGTTGATCTAATATCCTATAAAATTCTATTTTTATCTTCGCCTTCCCCATTCCTTGTCCACTACGAGCTTTGAAGCAAAATGTCGTTAGGGCAATTTCTTGTTTCAGTAGCAGTTTTGATGCTGCTACTGTTAGCCATAGTTCATTGAGATTAGGTGTGTTTTGCGGTTTAGTCGGTTATCCACGTCACTTTGTTGTTGCGGCAGTACAACCTACTTTTATGACATTCACTGTGCCGCACAATCATGGGCTCTTTGTGATGGCTCAGGTTTAGCCACTCACAATGAATGCCCTCTCGGATGCTCTGGACTACGTCTATCCGTTGATTCCAGAATTGTTGGTCGTTGAGCGTGGGTTTGTCACGCTTCGACAAGCACGACCTCTGAGTCGTACATTTCCCAAGTCCGTTCTACCATAAGTTTGAGGTTCAAAGCACTCATTTGTCC